TCCCTAATATTTATTATTATTATTAACAAACACATTCTATATAAAGTTATGTAAAGACTCTTTATATAATTTAGCACCCCAACTATTTTTTCTGATTATTTAGCCTCTACTTCACATTTGTGTACTGCTTTTTTTTTATCAACCACATAACAACTAATTAAAATATAATAAATTTAGTTGCCGCATGTCGAAAAGTAAAAAGGGTGTGAATAGTTTTGGTACAGTTAAGGAGGTAGCACTGGTAGACGCGTGCCTGCCACGCGCCTTCTCCGTCACTCCCCACTCTCTCCTCCTCTCTCTCCTCCCATCCGCATCCCTTCATCATCTGGCGCCCTCCCGCAGCGCTCGCCTCTTAACCACATGTGCCAGCGCCAGGCCCGCTCATGCTCCGGGGCTAATTGTTCACTGGTAAACTGGGGGCTCGTCAGTGGGGGTCTTCCCCTTCATCCAGGCGCAGGGATAATAAGCAGGTCGGTGGTGGTGGCAGCAGCGGTGGCGGTGGGGTTACAAATCATGATCCCTCCATGCAGTTTATTTTTCTCCGTTTAAGTCTGGAGATTGTCACTTGTAATCCGGGCTGTGTGCTGAATGCAACAAATACACCATGAAATTAAAGGTTTTTGCGCGAGCATAAAGCAAGAGCTCCGTGGAGATGGCCAAAGCTCTCTGATCATAGAGGGTTTTTCTTTTTCTCTTCTTCTTACTTTGATCATGATTAATTGACCAATGGGAACATATAGTTTTTACCACTATTTGAAATTCTTTCAATTCATATATATATTCATATAATCTCCGCTCTGTCCAGGTTAGTGTTTCCCAGATTTTAGGAAGAATCCCCCTTCGGCCCACCTTTTCCATTTTGAATTGCTCTAATCTTGCTCTGCTAATGTGTTTCTTGAAGTGTCTCCCTCAGCTGCCACTTAAAAGTTTGATGAACGGATGGAGAAAAAAAACCTATAACTAGCCTCAGCAGTGTGTTTAATCTCATCTGATAACTCAGGCCTTCCTCTTTCTCCTGCCTTTCTCCACCTCAGCTTGGCGGTTCTGGCTCAGGTCTGCTTCTCTCTCACCACACAGATGGTATTAAAGCCACGGCCCCGCAAGCCCCCTCTGATACGGGAGAGTTCATTAGAGATGTGCCTTTGATGGGCAGCCTTTTCATGTGACTACCGGTTTTTCAAATACCTTGATGTAGAAGCTTAAGAAGGCATTGTGCAGTAAGCCCTCCTTTTGATGCGACTTATTTAGATCTGCATAGTAAATCAGGGGGGAGTAAATAACCAGCCAGCAGATGGAAGCAAGGAGATAAGGCGGCGGCGAACAATCGCATTTGTATTTTGTTATGATGTTGACAGCAGCTAAAATTCACTAATCTAGAGCCACTGATCTGCATTTCAAAGAAATCTCATTTAGCAGCAGGGAGGATAAAGTTCCACTCATTGTGTCTATTTTATTGCATTCTTCGCTAATTTATCTGCCCACAGATTTAACGCGCAGGGCTCGGCGGTGGGAGCCAGCGTCCGTGCGTTGCATAGGGAGGGTCTTAAATACTGTGAAAGCGGTTACGTCTAGACTGTGAGCTGAGGGTAATTACACGTCTGACCATGAATAGAATGAGTTTGAAGACTCATCTTTCTTCGGGCAGGCCTGAATCGCTCGACTAATGCTGATAAGGAACGTTTGGTCCCCACAGAAATATTGCCAGTGACTTCCCATAACACCCTACCAAGGATGGTATTTACTTTTAAGATAAAGTTATTGTGTACAGTAATCTGACTTGTTAGCATAATGTCCTCTTTTATGGCAGGACCCTCCTTTTTTTCTGCAGTGTGGAGGTATTTGCAGCCCAAGCCTTAAATAGTTTATCTTGACTTAGTGAGCGGCTGCTTTATGTAAATATTAGCCTATAGCATTATTAGGCCTTCATGAATACTTGAATGCATTTGCCATATTTATAAGTTGATAGAATTTACCAATGGTTTTACATTTGGCTAAGAAACACGTGTGATATTTGGAAATCTCCAAGAAGAGGAGGTTATACAGACTAACAGAATGCCAAATCATTTTCTTGTGAATAAAATATGATCCGTTTACAGCCCAAAGGTGTCTGTATGCAAATAATTTAGGAAAGAGGTGTTCAATTTTTGTACCTGAAGGACGTCACAATCTGCTGGTTTATCATTCCAAATAAAGCGTATAGTTCAAGCCTTAATAATTGTGTTTATTTACAAAGCTTCAGTTTACAATCCATGTTGTTAAACGATAACTTTACAAGACTAGCAGGTTCAATTCAACTATACATTCAAGTCTGTCCTTTGTAACCCAACCATAGAGACTGCTCTAATAATAATTTATGTTCCCATTTAGTTTATTACGCCAAATGATGATCTTGATGGCAATGGTGAAAAGGATCAATTCCTTTAGAACAGGAGGAGCAGAACTTTGGTGGAGGAGCCATCCACCAAAGTTGATCCTAGGTTGAAGAAACAGGCAAGAGGCACACAAAAAATCACTAGTACACATATATATATAGGGAAGAAAAATAAATAAACAGTATATGTCTGTCTGTCTGTCTTTTAATAAAAAAAAAACTGTAGAATATAGAACCGGCTTTTAGCTAGCAATGCATACGGCCGTACATTCTACGGTCTTTACTAAAAAAATTACGAATTCTACGCCCTGTTTTTCCACAAGAAACTTCACTCTAATGTTAATAATTGCACAAGCAGCAATTGCTGTCTGAAAAATTTAACTTTTGCTGCTCCACGCGCCACATCAACCAATCAGCGAAGCTGATCTGCGAGCTTGCAGGGAGACAACATCACTGCTGATGCATAGCGCTATGATCACTCCACAAAAACTGTTTATCAATGCCTAAATTAATTTAAAAATTGAAAACTGTCGGCAAAATATGTTTGCTTTTATTATTCTGGTGTCTGCAGTTTGTGCCACGTGTATGAAAAATGCTAACATTTACCTCCACCCGCCACGAACAGTAGGGGAAACCCCCTAGAGGCGACCAGGCCTGAGGCAGCTGCTGTTGGGGATTCACAGTGACAGTGCACCGTTGGTATGGGGGGTCTGCTTGCCCCTGACAGCAAAATTATATTTGAAGGCAGGATCGTAATTTTGATGAACTGACTGCACTGACGATGTTTTAAGGTGGACTTTCTTGCATAAAAACATATTAAAATTATTATGACAGCAAATATAGCAAAGCCGCTCTCTGCCATTGAACACAGGAGCAGCACAAGTATTGGACGCATCTGTACACATATCTCAGGAGCATCAAAGGTCCTTTTGAGGCGTGTCTGACCTTAACATGTACAAGTGTCAAAAATGAAGCAGAATGTGCTTTATTGCTGCTCAAATTGCAGTGTGAACATAGGATTACATTTCCTCATTGCTTGAATTAACCTATGAAGCATAATATCGTACCTAAAAAATTATCCTTATGAAATTTCGACCTCTAGTCAAGCAAACATACTTCCCATAATAAGGACAAAAGCAGTGTTTTAACAAAGACAAAAAGTTAGCTGCATTGCACCTCAAAAGTAGTGTTTCTGAGTCTAAATGTCAAAATTGACAAAAACAATGATACAAGTTGATTAAAACCTAATAATAGATACCTATAGTTGCATTTAGTCAAAAACTGCTTTCATTTCAGGTCTTTTAATGAGATAAAATATACACATTTACTTAAACTATTGCATATCAGTTTAGTTATATTGGTACTTCTAACAATATGTGGCAGATATTTAACACTCATTGAATTACATGCTAATTAGTTTGAGTCATAGTTTTTGAAGTCAGATTTCTATATGGTATTTAATAGAGAATTATTTTAAATCGTTAGAGGGGAATGAAATGCCCCCCTGGTGGGAAGGAAATCAGGCTTGGTCAACATGAACTACATTGCAGAAATGGCTTAATTTCAGCAGTTAGGTGCTATAAAGGTACAAAATGGCAAACTGGATAAAACAAATAGCACCCCCCTTTAAACCAGATCCTTAATAGCTCCCCTCACCATCCTCTGCAGGAGTTTTGTCACACCTCATTGCAGCAATCGCTAAGAGATTATTTTCTAAAAGCCTTTAAAAAGATATTTTTTAAGTTAATATTCTGTTCTCAAACTTTCAATCTGTCACTTGTCCAATTTCCAGCAAAATGTCGCCTAGTTATCTGGACAGCATTTTCCACAAACTCAGAACAATAAGAACTTATCACAGTTGGCATGTTTTGTTTTCCATCTGTTCCCTTTGAGTTGAGGCCTTTTTGTACAGTTCAGAGAGCGCATTCCTCAGGATCCAGCAGCCGCTGGTTGCCTGTAGGGGTCATTGAAATTCAGAAAAAAATAAAAGGGGCAAACACATGCACACAAACACACACCCCTCAGAGAGGAGCCTCCGGTCCATTGTGTGAATTTGGTGCCTCATGTTGTATTACAGTTCTCCAAAGTAATTATTTTTTTACTGTAAATGTGATGCATTAGTAGCTGCAGTTGTGATATTGAGCCCTCCTCCTGTATTGGTGTGATTAAAATAACAGAACCCTTCATCCTAATGGGCTCTAGCATGTGTGTTTCCACGCAGGCAGCTGAATGGGGTACATGAGAAAATCAATGGTGTCAGGTTAACAGTGTGATTTACTTTACGCTGAGAGCTTGAGCCTTGCAGGCACAGCACCTTTCAACTTTAGAAAGAGTGTGTATGTTTGTGTGTATTGGAGATAGTACATTGTATGGCCTGTTAGTGCATGCACCCAAACACACACAAACACACAGACTCTCCTTTTAAGCTTCACAGCGAAATCCAGGTGCACTTTGTTGATTTGAAATTTATTGCTTTCACCTTCACACCATGCAGAAAATAGTTATGCAACATATCATCTAGCCCACACTTGTCTGCTATAGCAATAATGCACCAAATGGGAGGGATGGGGGCATCTTGTGCAGCAGAATTGGCCCAACTCTTAAGTATTTTTGGGTTTTCTCCCCTTAGTGAGGCAGCATCGCCAGACTCCCATCCCACCCTGCCAAGGACAAAAGTGACAGCAAGTTTTCTCCCTTAGGGTAAGTGCTTGAACATAATCCCCTCATGTCAGCTCTTTAACCTGTGGAAAGATTAGAGCGCTATTAAGCATATAGCTTTTCACCTGTCAGTATTCAGATAACAGTAAATCAAAGTGTGGATCATTCAAAGCTCTTTCACAGTGTTTTATTTCTCTCTGTTTGGGTGATTGTAGTGGTTTGTGGGGGGTCACGGAGTTCCCATTCCTCCTCTTCAAATGTAACAAATCTTCATCTTGTCCACACTGATAGAATTCCCCCTCCACTGGGCAACCTTTCCATTGTGCCTGTTTGGTTTTCACACCCCAAGGATTTTCAATCTACTCTCACTTAGAAGTTATGCACTCAGGCTGGCAAATATGGCCGAGCTCAAATTTCAGCTTTTATTATTATTTTACTGATCTATTCATTAGAATTTCTTACTTTAATGCATGCTTGTTTATTCCTGTTAATGGAATACCTGTTTTTTTAACCTGTTATCAGGAAAAAAATAAAAAAGATAAGAACACAAACTCCAAATGTAGTTAGATTTTAGATCTCTTCCTGTTCCTCCTTCTAGGATGAAATATGCACACTCTGCATCTGTAGAAAGAAGAAGACAACGTACAGTGTGAGGTGAAAAGTGGTAAGTGCAAACTATTTAACTACTCTGTCTGCATGCTTGATCTTGTGTTACTCGATATTGTGTTTGCTGTGATGATGCACATCAGTCTAACTGTTGCGGGGGTTGAATTTTAAGTTAAATACAGTCCTAGATGGAGTAAAGGGTTAATAAAGTACATTTCATTGGTTAAAGTTTGGTTTAGTGAAATGGTCTGGAAGCATCACATCATTAGGGATAATGTGCAAATATCTCTAAATAAATAAAACCTTTTTTTGAATTGTATGTAATAGGATTTAAAAATACAACGGGATAGAATGGATTTTAGCAAATAAAAAATAACTGTTGGCAACTTCATACAATTTATAACTCATGGAAAATAGAGAATGTAATAGAAAAGCATTTCCTAGATTGAAGTGCTTTTCAGAAATTTCAATTATTTTTTTGTGCATATGTAATTTACTAATCTCAACTTCTACCAAGATGTATAGTTTTAAAAGTGCTGGAATGTCCATTGCACTGCTTTTTATTAGACGCCAGGACTAAATATTTTTTTTGCCTCTATTGAGCATAGTTACTCAAAACTCATCTTCTCCACCTGTTGTTTCACACCTGGCCAGCTTTTGAATGCTTTAAAGACAAAAATAGTTTTAACAAAAAAAAAAAATGATGTCATCAGGTGTGTTGTATCTTTAAAACATGTTTAAATGTGTGTGTTAATATGGAGACACCATGAAACGTAACTATTTTCAACCATGCTTTTACACTGGTACATATTTACATAGTAATATATATATAGTATATATATATATTTTTGGTAACATGTTCTTTTGGAGGTGTGGTATGAAACACTTTTTTAAAATTGTTGTGTTTGCTTTTCACATTAAGAGCTTTTAAAGTGAAGTGTTCTTTGAAATATGCAAGTTGCTTAGCCCTAATTAAAGATACACTATTCAGTTTTTATTAGCCAGAACTCATATTTTTTTCTTTATTTTTTTTTTTTTTATGACAAAATATGTGCTGTGGGTTTTGAATTTAGTTGTTTTGAAAAAGTTTCATTGTGTATTTGGTATGCACGATATAGACATTTTGGCCAATAACTGATAATTATTTGTTTCCCCCCCAAATCCTACTCACAGACAAAAAGTAGTTTTTCTGTCATTTAACGTCATTGCATATCATAGTTCCTTTATAGTTTGTGAAACTTTAAAAAATATCCACAAAACTTCAGCATGACTCTTGTGGAAGATTCATGACCTGCATAATTCTCTATTTTTTTATTATCAAGACATAGTCTATTTATCGGTGAGTTAAATTATGGGAATGGTAAACTGACAACATGCCATTGTGATATTTTGTATCCCTGCATTTATGCATATATCCAAATATTATTTTTTATTTTAATACTCAAAGAAAAAAACCTGAAAGAACATTCTGTGAGATGATATTTTTATAAAGCACAATTTGTGGGAATTTCTTATTTTGATACTAGAAAAGAAAATAGTGTTTAATCAGCCAATCAACAAGCCTATCAACAAAAAAGCTAAAAAAAAAAGCAGTTACAACAATTTTCATATCAATGTTCCTTAAGTTTAGCTCTATTTTCCAGAACCAGAAAAACGGTACATGGCAGTTTGAAGTGACATTTTGTATTTTATAGTTAAATCCTAATTTGACTGAGGTTAAAGCAGAAACATATGAAGTAGAAGATTTACTCTAGGTAAAGATTTGTTTAGAAAATGTGTGAGATGCTGAGCTGAACTCTCCAGGTTTCCTGAGTCCAGATTTCCACCTAAAAGAGATTTAAATATTAGTTCTTAATTTGTCTAGTACTTCAGTTAATCTTCAAAGATGAATCCTTACTGCATATCTACTGGCAAGAAGACGTTCTTCTAATCATAGCAAAAAAGTCTAATTACCCCAACACTGCAAGCCACACTTGCAGAGTGGACATACAAAAAAGAAGAGGAAAAATCTACAGCAATTTATCTGTGGTTGCTTTAAAGGAGCTGCAGTTTGGACTGAACAGCCTTCTGCTCACATTTCCAGTCTGAAATTGATTTCTTGTCCTAGATCAGAGACCTCTTGTCATTCCATTTTCAATCCCCAAATGGTTTCTCTGAGCCTACTAACTGTCATCCCCGTGAGTGGGCAAACAGGGGAAACCTCCATGGGTCTTTACCCCTGGCACTTAAAGCAGCCAATGGAGTAAAGGCAAAAATCAAAGGGACTGACCATTTCCCCATTGGTAGCCTCTATTGTGTGGCCGGTTTGGGATTGGTGGAGAATCTGAACACTGGATAGCGGGATACGCGGGTGGCTGGAGATCAGGGAAAGCAACCCCCTTTTTTTTCCTAATCCTTATCCACCATTAACCTCAGTGCCCTAGTGTGTGGCTAAGATCAGGGCCCTTGGTCAATCCCCCATTCACTTCCACCCCGAATATTTTAAAGTTAAGCCCTGATGCTTAACAAAAAAAGTCTTACTCATCAAAGGTTTACTTTTCCTGCCTTCCCTCTCTGTGCCTTTGCTCTCCTGCCATTCTTCTCTCTATGGTCCACTGTTTTGTCTTTACACTTGGGGAGAGGGAGCCGTTGAAAGTTTTGCAAGTTCCTAAGTTTTCATTTTTCAACTTAATAAAGTTTAGTTGGAGGTCCAATGGTGTCATGCTGCGAGGCAAAGTGGAGCAAAAGTAGTTGAGCCAGTGAAAACCTGCCCACTGCTAATCTCTCTGATAAATAGACCCCTGATTTTATTCAAATTACTTCCACAAGGGAGGTATATATTCCTACCTGATATTTATAACCCCAAGTATTTTCTTTTTCCTTGGACATTTGCTGATAATAACAAGACTTATTTGAGTCCAGGTTTCTACCTCTATGTAAACATTTCAAATTCCTCCTCTTTTTTTTTCTGTGGGCCATAGCTTTTCCTAGCAACTGTCAGGCATTCGACACATCTGAAAGAGAAATGATTGAGGGTCAGAGTAGAAAAACAAGCATATGGAGGTGTAGAGTTGACGGGCGGGAGTGAAGAAAAGAAATTGCACAGAGAGTGTTTGTCCAGAGTGCATAGTTGCCATGAGAATGAAGGTGGAAACAGGGGAGGCTCAAAAACAGGATTGCCATTATTGTTTAACAGAACATAAAGTCTTGGTAAGGCCATTGATTCTTATTTTTCCTATCTATTCTCCAGCTATTTTCTAAGTTCTATCTTTTGAATTTTTTTAAGAACTATATTTTGGATATATCAACCAACATAAAAATGAAAAGTGGTTTTCTCCAGTAAAGGTGGTCAGAATTGACTTTGGAGCCCCTCCAACTAAACTGGGCGCCTTGTTCTAGAGAATGCTGACACTATAGAAATTATTTATTGCAAATATTGTATATAAGAATCAAATTAAAAACAGCATCTAGTGTTTCATGTGTTATCCTTTCCTCGCAATCTAATTGGAGAAACGTTGAGTGCGGAAGCTGGGCTGGATGGCATCCGTCCAAGAGCTTGAGATTATTGTGAAACCCAACCTGATGGTGGGATGACATCAGAGAGGCCTGACTTTGGATTGAACTCAATGTTTCAGGTGGGAAGAATTACGAGCGGCTTCACTCGCAGGTGATCGTGTCCAGTGGATCAGTCGCACACAGTCCTGCATTCTTCTCCCAAGGTCTAAACGCTGATTGCCCTGACAGATTGAACTTGTGTGTTATCAGCAAACTGTCATGGGGCTTCATTTTTCAGACTACACACATAGTCCAAAGTTTACGTTAGCCATTCACCAATATGGTGTTTTATAAGGGAAATTGTCATCACTACATAAACGATACAGTTATTTTACCTGCTATTGAACTAGTTCAGTTCAAGTTGCCAAGAAGTTGATGCTGAATCTTAAGTATGTTAAACATTTTTAGAAGGCAAACAGTGTCTCGTTGCCTTATGTTACACATTAAATTGAGTTTCCCCTACAAAAAAACAGCATAATTTTGAAACTAGATATATGTTGCACTTCAGTTGGCTTCACATTTACTGCCACAAAAATCAGAGTGCCACATATTCTCTAGCCTTGTCAAGAAATTCTGCCACTAAAGGGTCATAACTCAGACACACAGAGTATTTACCCTGCCACTGCTAAATAATCAGTGAAACCATCAACATAAATTCAAATATTCCAGTTAACATCAACACCTTTATCAATAATTGATATCCTTTTAAGAAAGGTGGATGTTTCTCTAACCCTTGGCTGGAATGAAATGTGATATTTTGGGCCAGTAATTGTCTACCTAACTACAACACCCCATACCATATAGCATTAAATTATCATTATTAGATGGTCAGTTTATTCTTAGATATGAGAAATATTAGTGATGATTGAAAATCGCAGCCCTCAGACGTGACGTTCCTGAACCAGATGTTGCAGAACACTGAATTTCACACCATTTTTAGAAATCTGTGTCATCATATATATACACTGGACATTAACCTGCCCATTCCTCCAGTGAAACATGGTGGTGGCAGTATCATGCTGTGGTGTTGAATTTCTTAGTCAGGGATTTGGAAAAATGGTGATGATTATTTTTCAATATGACACAATTTAAGTGTCATATTGGAAAATATTTACTTCTTAAGTTGCCCAGCTGGTAGAGATATACACCAAAATACATTGGAATGTATATTCAGCTACAATGGAAAAAAAGGGAAAAAATAAATCAATTTCTTGATATTAATAGTCTATTTTGCTTTGATAAGTGGTCATAATAGGAATTATATTTTGCTGTTGTCGTTTGTACTGGTCAAATGATCTTACACATGAAACTTTAGGTTTGATTACCTAAGTGTGTTGAAACTGGCTGCAAATGTTTATACAAATTCAAGATACACCCATCATTTTTTTTCCAATTTAAATGTTCTGTCATTGTAAACGATTCAAATCAAACAACGCGGTTACAGTCAGGGGAAAAAAAAGCTTTCATTCCAGAGGCCACAAGCCAAGTCCTTTGTTCATAATGAACATTTGATCGCAGCTTGAA